TTCAGAGGAGAAAGCCCTAATCTGTTTTACTCAAGTTAAAGAATTTAAACGGACAGCTTGAGTCAGCTAGTTTTGCCTGAGTGGGAGTCGCCTTACAAACCTCTCTGCCAGTTGAATTCTGGTGGCAGCTCATCTCCAGCTCTAAGGTGCTGATGAGCACCTTAGGGCAGTAGGAGACTGTTTAAACTTGAATGTCTGAAGCAGATGTGACTAGCCCACACAGTGAATGGGAGACTTTGACTGAAAATGTCAGAACATGATTCAACTGTTTGCTAAAAAAGCAGAGGCCTATCATTAACAACTAGGGAAGACTGGATATGTCATTTGTAGGTCACCAGGTGATGATACAGAGCCTTCTATCTGTAGGTCACCAACCTGAACAACCAATTCAACACTAAAACTACAGGCAGGCCTTTTAACTATATGTTTGCTTCACATTAGGTTGAATGCTTTTCAGATATTGCTTCTCATGTGGGTATCTAGCATGTGGCACAATCAGGCCTCATCTTAGTCAGGTCCCTTAATCGAAGTTTCTGGAATTAGAGCATACAGGGAGTCTGGGTTGAACATAAACTATTAATGCCAGTAAAAGCCCGGTTACTTTGTGTTTGGTGCTAATTTAACCCAAATTAAGGACATACCTTTTCTGCAATCATATGTACCGAGAATGGCAAGGAGAATTAAAAAAAAAAAAAAAAAGAGAGAGAGAGAGAGAAACCAGAATTTGCAATGTCATTTTTTTCCCTCAAATCCATTATTAGGGAGCGGGGAGGGAGATAATTTGCGTTAGTTTCTGAAGGTGAGTTTCATGATTTTGATCTTTCTGGGATTCACAGCACTACTGATTCCTCCAAAACAACTCAGCCTGACACAGACAATGCGTAGTGTTAAAGTTAGGTTTAGTTATAGCTGACTGAGAAAAAAGGTATTTTAAATAGAAATTGTTATGCACCTGTTATCTGCAATAATACTAAAAGCAGCCGCTTTCTTATGATTGATCTGATTCTTATGACTTTTTTAATCCTTCTGCGGCAGGACAATAATATCCCGTAAATGACAGTATTTCTGGTGTTTTCACATTTATTTTTGTCTTTACATAAAGAAATAAACACATTGTATTCAAATGCACGAAATCTTTGGAACTCACAACTTTTGGCAAAACTGGAAGGGATCAAATAAGCGCTACTTTAACAAGTTCTGATACGTACATGCACGTGGATTTCGAAAGGGAATATATATATACTACATTTTACTTTGGTGAAAGCAGAGCCCCAGTACACTTATGCTATACTGTTTTCTCAGCAAAATATCTCATGTGATATCAAATAGGTCACCGTGCAGAAATCACAGTTATGTTTCAAGTAGATTGGGTTAACTTCATGAACACATCATAAAACGAGAACTCTATAACTTTCTATTGATACTGTTTCACTATTGCAATTTACCATTGCAATGGCACTATTTAGGAAACAATGAATGGACTGCAATGATATAATTAAGGGATAATCTCCATCGCTGTGAAGTATATAAAGCAATAAACAGCTGCCAAAATAGATTAATAGCTGAAGTGAAGTTGAGGCATTTAATCAGTCTAATAAACCATTTATTGCAAGAATATAGTGTCTTACACTAACTATGAAGCATTTATCTTACTGATACAAACTGCACTATTTTCCTTTCTTTAGGCTATAATATCATGAGACCTTGATTGTTCCTCCATTAAAGTCAAGGGTAAAACTCCCATTGTGGGCCCAGGGTCAATCCTTCACTGAGCTGACATCAATGAAAATAAATGCTTCCTTTTAATGTAGGACAGTTCTGCTAAAAACATTTTTTTCCCTATTATAAAACATCCCACGGCATTGAAAGGGGTACACATTCTAGTGGCAAGGACAAATGTCAGGAGTCATGATGAAAATCTGGATCTCCTACTAGCTTGAACTGCAATTTTGAGCCAAGTACTGTTTTTTTTCGGTGCCTCCAATCCCTGATCTGCAAAAATGGAGATGAAACCATTCAGTTATTCTACGGAATTAGTTAGGAACGATACATAGAAGATACTGTACACACTTCAGAGTATCTCTAAGTAAAAGCAGAAAGGAAACAACATAGATTGCTCTTAATTCCGTTACACCAGTCTTGTAACCAGTAAAGAAATGGGAGTGACAGGAGGGAGGCTGGACAACACTGGTTAGAGGAAGAGACCTCTTTCCCCCCTACACCGAAATAAGTACCAAATTCCTTAATAAAAATGAATAAACAGCTAGGTGTCGTGACGGAGTTTTACAGTGTAAGATGGAAACTAAATCTTACGAATATTTAAAATGTACACAATACATTAGCTCAAGGTATTATATTGTTTGTGTATGTGTGTGTTTTTTTTTTTTTTTGTCAGATGTTTTTATCTCCTTATCCCTGCACAGAAAAGAAGCATTAGAGCTCATGTTCTCCTAGCACAGCTTATAATTGCTCTTTCCTTGCAAGGATATGAAAGATGTTTTTAGTGCTGGATGATTCTTAAATTTACTCTGAAACAACATCTTTCTTTAACGCTAGTAGGAAGCTACTTTGTTTTTATCCTAGGTGAAATGTTGACACAGAAACTCTTACCAAAAAGTAACAAAGGTACGAATTTATTGTTTCAGCAAAAGCTCCTATGCAAATTAACCCTCAGATAATTAAAAATGCCTCCAGTGCCTGGGCAGGTAAAAGATCAAGCATTCGCTGAGTTACAACATAGCTAATGCTGGGATAACGCTTCGAAATGGTTTAGAGCAGGAGCTCACAACCTTTTCAGGAAACAGAACCAATTCCATCAGCCAGCCTGTACTAACTTCTGTTCCTCTGGGCCCAATCTAACCGATAGAGAGCTGTTTGCAATGGCAAGACTTTTGTCTGGAGAAGCCAAAGCTAAACAGCAGGTTCAAACTTGCACAATTGAATGCAATGCAAGCAGTGGCATTGCACTCATTCCCTGTGCAAGGGTTTGTCATAAGACTAGGACGGGCAAACCTAAAATACGAGTCCCAGAAACCTGCAATACTGGAATCTCTGCACATACTGCTGCTTAAGGAGTGCTAGCTTTGTGAGAAAAAATACATCTAGATTTCAAAGGAGGGTTTTTCTCTTTTTTTTTTGCACTAAGATGAATGCAGCAACTTGCAGACACACAGCAAAACGTTTAAATATGCGTTGACTGTAGGAATATACTTACTGAGAGCGAAACAAGTCTGCAGAGTTTTAAGTACTTTTCCTCAGGAACTAGCGGCGGTACTACCGTAGACGAAAAATTCCTCGAGGCAGGGCCTGTTCTCTCCTCTTACAGTAAAGCACCACAAGGAGAACGGCTACTTGCTGTTGCTAGAACTAAACACAATGGTCATTTCTGCAGCCTGGCTTGGCAGCTGAATTAGCATACTTTTGCCACTGTTACTTGAAACTATCCAGAGCCATATACGTATGACTCTCTCTCTATACACACACACACACACGTGTGTGTTTAGAGGAAAAGAGGTAGTTGTAGCCAGTATTACACAAATTCATATTGCCTGGGTCCGTGCCAGTGACAATAAAGTTTTCCCCAATTAGTTAATGGATTTCAAAAGGATATCTGCCTTCTTTGTAGCAGGATTGTTACACAGGTTTGTAATACACGTTAAGAATATCCTTTTTCCAGGATAGAAGTCGGGTAGCTACGTTAAACACCTAATACGCGCTCTTAGAGGTTTTCTCTCCCAGTTTTACACTCTGACATCCACGTAGTCCGCACTTCACCAGCACCTGAGAAAACATCCCTGCCCCCCTCCACCACATCTTCTCCCCGGGGGCGCTTATAAACCCGCTCCGTGAGGAAAGCGGCCCCCCCGCTCGACGAGGTGAGCCCTGCCCGGGC